AAAGTTCACTCTACAATGGGGGGGGGAGATAAAAATGAAGTTTTTGTTTTCACCTCTAGGACTTTATCTACTTCGAACAGGAAAAGATTTAGTCTTACCTTTCTAAAGATTACATTGGAAGCAATTGCCTCCCCCCCACACACACACACTAATACACCAACCCCCCTGGATGTACTTCACACACATGTTCATACGTTAAGTACACACTTTCTCACTGGCAGTGATGAAGATATATGTTTGTATAAACATATAGACACACACATAAATATACAGATACATGAATATACATATATATAAACATTACCATGTTATGTGTAACTGTATTTCAATACAATTTCTTTCCTATTTGTTTTCTTTTATGCATCAAATCGTATGTGTTTTGTTTTATGACTTTAGAAACATTCTGAGTAGATGTCCTTTATTAGGCTTCCTAGATTTCCAAAGTGGTCCAGGACACACAAAAAAGCTAAAAATCTCTGCCTTAGAAACAGTATGTGAACGCAAGAAATCCCCCCCCCTTCCGTATCTACTTTTCTCCCCTTAATCTTTGATCATACCTAATCCCAAGAAACAATATGGAGGTTAGCCAACTAAGTAGCTCAGTCTCTTATATAAGAAGGTGGGAATACAGGCAGCCCTCACTTCCTGCAAATTTCTCTGTGCTGGTCTAGTCTCAGAGTCTTACACACAGTAAGCACTTAATAAATGCTTTCCGAATTAGATTGGGGGCCTAGCTCTTGGGAAAGACTGTCGCCCTCTTCTTCTCGCTGCACAGCAAGAATTCGGGAAATGTGAAGGGAAAGGTTTAAAGGTTTAAGATGTGTTATTTTTATCACCCTCCAGTAGCTTTCTAGGACGGCGGAATCACCTGTCTTTGCACACGGTGAGAAACGTTCCCTCCGAAGCGAGCTCCTTTCTGAAAACAAAACATTTAAAACGCCTCAGAGAGGTCATTGTGGGCGCGCAGCACAATAAAGACCAGAGCAGTTAACAGAGTCACATGAAGGTATGTCAAATATGTGTGGAGCCGATGTGAAGAATACGCTGACTTCGGCCAAATCTGCCGCGAAAGGGGGAATAAGCCACTGTCCAAGGAACTCCTAAGGAGCTGAAGCATCCTTCACCTTCACTGGGAGGGCAGAGGAGTTTAGGCGCGCTGACGTGTGTGATGGCCGTCTGAAGTCTGCCTTCCACAGTACCAAACCCTGCTCCAGGTACTCGAATGATCTGAGCTGAGCCAGTGAAAAACCTCCTCTGACCTGGGTATTGCTCACAACGACATATGTCTGCAATATTCTGTCAATCTGTCGATCAGTCAGTCTCTCTGTGCCTGTGTGCGTCTGTTTCTGTACCGCACGGTCACACAAAGAAAACGAATGACCCGGGACTTTGCATTGCACCAGATCCATGGCCACGAACCTCCGCAGGAAAAAAAAGAAAAGAAAAAAAAAAGCCCCTCTTCAAGTCCTGCGTCATTGCTCTGTCTGTGACTTCGATTAAGGTTATCGATCCAATTCCTGAGGCTGGATCGTGGGGAAAGAAGTGAACGAGCAGAGAGACTAGCGAGGAAAGCTCAGTTCAAAGGGAAGATTTTTTTTTCTGCATTCCTTTCTCTCCTTCCCTAACCCTCCCCCCTCCCCATCCTTCAATAAAATTCTGCAGCTAGCCTTCTAATAAGGGCCTGTTCAAGACGGTAGGCAGGCTCTGTAGGAAATTATGTGAACTTTTCCTTTTTCTTCCTATTTTAACCTCAGCTTCTTCTTTTGTTTCCTGGGGAAGCTGGACAGAAGGAGCTGAACCGCTCAAGGCCTTTCCCTGAAACCACGAAAATGAACTGGAGGAGCCAAACCAAAGACTGAGCTACTGAGCTAATTATGGTAAATATGTCTCCTCTATAACGCTCCTCTTCTCTCCCCCTACCCGTCTCGCCCTACTTCACACACACTCACACCATCCTAGCTATTAAAGGATAATCACATCCCTTCCACACCCTGAGTCAGAGCTGGGTATGAGGAGCCTCCATGCCGGGTAACTACCCTGTAGGCCTGAGAGAAACGAAGGCTTCTACCAGCTCACGTCCGTGCACTATCTTCCCTAGGACTGTGGAGTCTGGAAATTTTCCCTCCATTAGATCTTTTTAGGATCTGCTAGAGAAACCCAGGCCTAGTGACAAATTCCTAAAGCTATAACTGTCCAGGACACTGACCTGGGAAAAAAAAAACAGTTGTTACTACTTTGATCCCAAGGCTCCCGAGTTAGTTCCGGTGCTCGGTGATCAGCCGTATTTTTAAGCCGTCGCGGAGCTTTTTTTTTTTTCCTTTAAAACTGGTCCAGAGATTCAGAACTTGGAAGCCTAAGAGTTAACTCTCCCCTAGCCAGAATAATTACTTGTATTGTCTTGGAGTCTGTTTGGTTTCATTTGAGGTACATTTGAGTACTACCCAAGGGTGACTAACTAGAGAAGGGCTCAAGTCTCAATGCTGCTTCAAGAAAGTGTGGAGAAGATCCCTCTCCGGCTGCAGTCTCTGTCTGCGGCCCAGTGAATGCTGCACCCCTACTCCCCACCCCACCTCCAGTCACAGGCTTCTTTTTTAGTTTTCCAAGGATCTTAGCAGCCTGTTTCTTCGGTCCAGTGCAACAGCTAGAGAGGAAAGAAGTGGCGGGATTGGAGGTTGGGGGTGGGAAGGAAATACAAGGGAGGGGGTCCGTCGGAACTGTCCAGCAGAAAGTACTTTTTATTCTCAGGGCTATAGCTGTCAGGGATTTCTAGGCTGAGAACAACTCCCTAGGTAGAACCCCAGCCTTCGCAGCTTGAGGGCCAGAGGGCCAAGGGTTCAGTCTGCTAGGGGCCTGCTCCTTTCCCAGAACAGATTTGGGCCTCCAGTCTGGCCCGGGGTAGCTTTAATATGTTTCCAAGTCCCTGGGGGTTGGCCAAAGAGGAGGCCAGGGGCCTTGAAGCTCCTGAGACATAAAGATTCTTCTAGTCTTCGTATCTGTGACCAGCCCCACCTGTAGTTGGCTGAGGGTGGGGGAAAGAAGGGCCTGGTTGGAAGGAGTGGTGAAAAGCAGCTGAGAGAACTGAGAAGTTTGTCCGATCCAAAAGGTCCCCCACAGCCTATCACCTTCCCCAGAGCTCTAGTCTTGGTCTTTTCGGGGTCCAAGAGGTTGTGGGCTACACTCTTTTTAACATTTCTGCTGGGCCTTCTACAGGGAACTGTAAGCCTGGGCAGGCTGGCCCTGAGCAGCTGCCATGCTCCCTCCGCCATTTGAACCACCCATTTAACTAGAGCAATATATATTAATTCGGCAGCTGCAGCTACTGGGACCGAGGAGAGAAAAAACTCTCTGGAATCAATTCTCAGCAGTTTAACCACCTTGAATACTTTTGTTGTAGCTGTGAGTGGATCTTTTTCTTTTCCACCCCAATCTTCCTTCTTTCTTCACCCCTCCCATCTTACTTAAACTTATCCGTGGGATCTCCAGATAATTAAAATTGGAAAGCTTTCCTGGCATCTAATACAAAGCAAAACTTTCCAGGAGACCAATCTGGAGCATCCCAGGAACCATAAAGTTTCCACCACTAAAAGTCCTATAGTCATATTATTCTCTTCCACTGAATGTTTCAAAAACTTGAAGAAATCGAGCATCAAACCGAAACTGGACCATCAATTGCCAATGACATCTTCCCACCTATCCCATTCTAAAGCACCTGAGACCTATTGATGTGATCTCTCTCATACTCCCTTAAATAACATATAAGATAGGAGCACAGAGCTCTGCTCCAGTGATATTTTCCAATGCTATTTTAGCGATTGCAGCATCTGTTCGGCATGTATTCATTTAAAGACCAATCCCAGGTTCAGATAATTTCCCAAGTTACTTTCAGGGAGAAAAAATGCCACCCCCATCTTGGGAAAATCCATTAAAATATAAATCATTTTGCCATCAAAATGGTATTTTCACAAACAACATAATTTTGGAGAGGTGGGTTTCACCTGTTTCAGTGGGAATAGGTCAAGATTCTAACTGGGAAAGAAGAGGCAGAAGCATTCACTGGAGTGAAGGAAAGTGGGAGAACTTTTTTCCACCCAGAGAATGAAGGAGATGATAAAATCCTCTATTTTCAAATAATGCTTTACACAGGATATTTGAAGGGATCAACAAGATAGAGGAGATGAGAGGGAGGAGAGAGAACAAAAAGAACTGAGCTTTAAGCCCAGAAAAAAATGGACTTCTCAGTTCTTAAAATCTAGAAAATCATTTTTCTGACAAAAATAGAGTCGTTTCTGTGGGATGGGAATGAGGATGGCAGGGTAAGGAATTTTTAAATCAAATTCAAAAGTAACAAATACTTCCCACCAGATTTCTGGCTTCAGGAAAGGGTCCAGCACTGATTTTGTCACTGAAATGAAAGAGATTTAAACCCTAATGAGTAAGTATCTAGGCCTACTCTGGTGCACGTCAGTTACTACCATAAAAGCTTCCTAGGATTGTAAGCCCGAATCCATTTAGGAAGGCAGGAGAGAACTAAAGCAACCAGGCAAGGTCCATAGTATTCTATCATTTTTATATCTCATTCCCTCATTGGAGGACTGTTCAAAATATCCAGATTTGGTGGCATCATTTCTCTATTCAATTGCACATTTGCAAAATCAGCAACTGATCAATATGCAGTCTTCAGGCTGATTTCTGACCAAAAAAAAAGTATTTTGTCTTTGGTCTAATTTATTTTAAGTGGGATTTGTCATGAGTATCAAATCCTTTACATTTTTAATAAACCAAGAAACTAACCAATAAAATTGTGGCTGTTTCCCCTCATCTGTGTGTGATGAGTAAAGATGGATACAGATAGATGGGCACACACAAAGTATTTATATAGAAAATGTGCATCATACAATGCATACACCCATATTTTTAGAAATAAGAAAAACAGGTGTGTTTTAGAGCAACTTTCGGGAAATGCAAAGACACAAACACACTGGCCAAGCTTTGAGCAGGAAAACAACATGGATTTATTTTAAAGTAAGTACAACAGTCAAGACCACATCAGACAAACAAAGGTGAAGCAAAAAAATATATATATGTATATATATTTTTTAAAATTAGGGTGGTTTTTTTTTCAGGAATGCTCAGGGTCGAATCTACTGTATAAAACATCGCACTTTGTAAATAAAAATGACCATATGCTTGACTTCTTTCTCCACCAACAAAAAATAAATTATTTCCTTGTTCTATGAGAAGAACCCTAAGTGGAAAGAAAGTCTATTGCATAATTGAACAACAACAAAAGTACAAATCACTTGTATTCGACTGGGCAGTTAGAGATTGTTGGGGGACATTTAAAAAATCCAGTGAACTCAACTTTAAATATTATATTAATGGCTCTGAGTTAGCCTGATTAGAATTCCACACACTTTACAGCACAGTAAGAGAACGTAAAAGGACACAGCATATACATACGCATATACTCTATATACTCGCACATAGAGCAATGTACGGGTGTAGAGAAAAGTCGTATAACGATCGCTAAGGTATTGGTCCGTAACTTACTTTCTGAGACCACAGAATTGAGCATAATGAAGCCATTCTGCTTAAAAGGCGGGAGGGCTGATTTTTTTTAAATATAAAATTGGTTCATTTGGGTTAATTGTTTGTCTTTGGCAAGTTGAATTGGCTGGTCTGGAATCCCAGAAACTGGGACAGCAATTTAAAGTTACCTGCACAAGTCTCAGAGGGCTCTCTGCTCTCGGGTCCGCTGGTAAGTTTGTCCAAATATTGTTCGTCTCTGCAGCCTTAAGAGTTTGTAAAAGCCACCTGCTGGGAATGTTGGGGGGTGGGGAGCCATCGAGGCGGGCTGAGGGTTCGGGGACTCAGTATTTAGTGCAGTCATAGGAATAGGGGTTGGTGTGGCGGTATATAGAGGGCGTGGATCGATATGGGAGCTGACAGCTCGTGTTGCTGCTCACCTGGTGCTCGCCTAGGGCCGAACTCTCGATTCCCAGCCGATGGGAGTTGAACATCTCCCGGACGTTGGGGAAAGTCTGCTGCTGGGCTGCAAACGTGTGACCGGGAAGGTGGTTCAGTTCCCCGCTGTGGTTCAGATACCAAGAGGCTGCCTGACTTGCGGCCGCGCCAGTCTGGGGCGGGGGTTGCTGAGGTGGTGGTGGAGGCGGCGGTGGCGGTGGCGGCTGCGGGTGCCCGTGGTGAGGGTGGTGCTGGGGGTGGTGGTGGCCAGAGCCGGCTAGCGCGCCCTCCTGGCTAGCCGCGAGGCCCAGTGTGCTTAGGGGCGACGTGGTGCCGTTGGGGTGGTCAGACATGGCCTCCTCCAAGACTGCCGGACCGCACATGGGCGACGGCCTCTCCGCTCCGGTGTAGAGGCTCATGGCCCGCATGCTGCACTGGTAGCTCCCGCCTGTGTCCACGCCCTGGGGACAGGACTGGCTGTAGGCTGCCGGAGGCGCCTGACCGTAGGGCAGCGCTAGCGAGGATACCACCAGTCCCGTCCTGCCGGACACCGGGCTCAGGTCCCCGCCTGGGGGCGAAGTTCTCAGGGTCATGATGTTTTCTACGCTGAAGCCCGAAAGCCCGTTGCCCGACGGATGGTGGTCGGGCAGCGAGCCCTCGGTGGAGCCTGATGGCGTGGAGGCCACGCTGCGGGGGCTGTCCCGAAGCGCGCTGCCACTCTCCGGGCTCAGAGTCTCCACCTTGGTGATGACGGGCAGGTCGGGCGACGAGGCCTCGCTTTTAATCACCACCTTCTTCTCGACCTCCTTGGGGGTGTCGGAGCTGGAAAGAGGGGCTCCGGCATGGGCAGCGGGGCCTTTGGGCGCTTGGGGAGGCGGTTCCTTGAGGTGCCCCCGGTCCTCCTTCTCCTTGGGCACGTCCTTCTTTTTGAAGCGCCGCCGCCGCCGTAGGAAGCTGCCGTTCTCAAACATGTTGTAGGAGTCCGGGTCCAGGGTCCAGTAGCTGCCCTTGCCCGGCTTCTTGTCGTCCCGGGGCACTTTCACGAAGCATTCGTTGAGCGAGAGATTGTGACGGATGCTGTTCTGCCAACCCTGTTTGTTCTCCCGGTAGAAAGGGAAGCGGTCCATAATGAACTGATAAATGCCATTCAGGGTGATCTTCTTCTCTGGTGCGTTCTGGATGGCCATGGTAATGAGAGCGATGTAGCTATAGGGCGGTTTCACCAGGTCCTTGGGCGCCGTGGGCTGGTGGTGGTGGTAAGGCCCGTAGGAGCGGCCCACGCCCGCCCCGTACTGGTCCGGGTGGCCCGAGTAGACACTCATGGGGCTAGCCATGCTGCCATAGGTACCCGCAGCCCGATAGTAATTCTGCTCGCTCAAGTACGGCACTACTCCCAGGGCATTGGGATCCGCCGACACGGGGTAGCGAGCCTGCATCCTGGAAGACTGCTCCCCCGCCGGCGGCACAGGGACTGCGGGCAGGGGCAGGGGGGAGGGGGGCAGGGGAGGGGGCGAGAGAGCCCCAGAGGAGGCTGGGGAGCCCAAAGCGTCGGTGCGAGAGCCGCGGAGACGGTCTGCGGAGAGCACTGGCGGGTCTGGGGAGACCGAGCCTCGGGCACACGCCGCCCAAATCCAAGCGGAACTCTTTCAGAGGCCCCCGCAGCGAAGAATCAGCATCCTTTGGAGTGACCCAAAGAGGAGCGCCGACCAAATCGAAATAGATTTAGGTCTGGTTTGGTTCACGGAAATCTAGAGCTCTGGGACTATTTGCCGGGAGGGTCGCAGCCTGGAGTCCGCTGGCTTGTAGGAAGGAGAAGGGGAGGAGAGAAGGGGAAAAAAAAAAGCCAAAAGGCAGGACGGGGCGGGGGAATGGGGTGAGGAGTGGGAGAAGAATTTAAAACTCTCGCGGAAAAGAACCCCCAGTTTTCGAGAAATCAAGGCAGCTCGCGAACGGAGGCCGTCTGTCCGTCTGTGTCCAGTGCGTCTATCTGCGAGGAGCCTGCGAGTCCGAAAAAATCAAACTCCCTTTTTAGGGTTTGGGAAAGTTTTCAAAACTCTTCTTGCTCAAAGCCAGTTTTTACTTTCCTTTGGCCACACCCCCTCTTCTCAACTTTAGGCCTATCACCAATCAGCCTCAGGAAATTGTAACCAATCAAGACCAGGAGCGCTAAGAACACGGCGGCGCTAAGACCCGGCTTTTCCACACTGACCTGGGATTTGGAGATTCGCGTCTTAATGCGAAAAGGGTTTTATATTATTATTGTTGTTGTTATATTTTAAATTTTTATTCTTATTCTTATATTTTGTTGGCTGTTACTAATATTTAAAGATTCAAGACTAAAATATTTTAGGCTAATCTTTTATCAAACTATTGTTATCCCTGAAACACGTTCAATCCAAAAAAAAAATTGATGGTTCTTGGACTTATTTGACTACTAATTTAAGACCTGACTAGGAGCACAGATTTAGAGAATCATTTTCTGATTAGTAAATAATCCTAAGAAGAATTCGCTCCCCTTACTCCCGACTCAACTAAGATCCACTTTTCCCTCATTCTGAGCAAACATTCAAAGGGCCTCCCAGTTTTTCTCTCGCGATGTTAATTAAATGATAATTAATCATCGACAGCCATTTGTCCGGCTTCCCAAAATGCCTGACAAGAATTAACTGTGGGAGTTATTTTTTTTTAATTAAGATCATACTGGATTTCACTTTTGTCCATACGAGGTGTATAAAGCCGTGTCTACGCAGAAGTGAAATGGAAAATATAGTAATTATCCGGAGGATTCGATCAATATTGAGAAACCATTTGAATATTTCAAGCTATTTCTCCTCCAAGGGCAAGATTTTTTTTTCAGGAGCTGAGAAGATAAGAGTGCCCAATATGTATCTAGATCATTGCCTCTACTTTTCACTTCTCGCCTGTTCATACAAAGCCTATGAACGTCGATTCAGCTTTTTCTGCCTTTTGTGAAGGAACTAGACAGCTTTTGACAAATAACTCCTGTGTTTTCTGTAGATGTTAATTTTAAAACCAAATCATCCACAGCTTCTGTCTGTTGCAAGCCCAGGAGAACGAGGCTGGAGGCTAAGGAGGTCTGGATAACTTTTCCGCAGTAGAAAGAAATCCGACTTCCTTGTTTCTGTAATGGTTCCATTAGAGACAATTAAGATCGGGTTAATTAGCAAAGCAACTGAGCGGAGTGCAAATTGGAAGTTTTGCAGGGCTGCTAAGAACTACTCTAGGCTGATTGTGCAAACAACTGATCTCTAAAGCAAACAAATGTTTTTCAGGAGAAAGTCCCAAACCTCCCTTCCTCCTGAAATCTCTTTAGGATTCAAATATTGAGAGTGGGTGGAGGGTGGGATTCAAAGTTAAATTGATGGAAATATCAGGGTTATAAATTCTTTACACCCCCATACCTTTAAATAGAGATTTCTTGGGTTTTATTTTGTCCAAACATACGAATAAATATCCAGCTACCTCCCTGCCTCAACTCCCCACCACCCCCCCAAATCACCCTTTGGCAATTTGTTTACGCGTGTGTTTATTTTATTAGCATTAGTCCCATCACACCTTTGCTAATGTGAGCTTCTTCCCTCCTTTCCACTAGGATTCTATGGCTGGAAGGGCGAAATGTCAGGCTCTTTCTGAGGGAGGTTATCAGCTCTTTGGGATGGGTGCAGATAAATTGCTCCTACTTGCTGCTGCAGTTTATACTGTCAACTCTTCCTTCAATTGAATTTTCCGTCCCACAGGATAGGTATAGCACCGACCTTTCAAACTCCCAAGATTCACAAAGGTGGGTAACAGATATTGGGAAAAGTTAATTTCTTTCTTCCTTTTAAAATAGAGAAGGATGAGGGAAGGGATTTTGTTTTTATTTTTTAATGAAATGCTCCCACTGATAAAAGCAAAATAAGGAGAGAAATTACACCGAGTTCTTGATATGTTGAACATTGTCCTTCAGATTTTTTTATGAGAGGTATGAGTACTTTCTCTAACTTGACAGTCATTTTTTTGCAATGAAGGGAATGAAAACTTCTTTAGAGTAAGAGTTCCCAGTTCATAAGCAAAGAGAATAAGAGAGAAATCCCCCCCACACCTTCCCCCTCCCATCATCAACATCACCACATTTGGTGATGGAATTTTAAAGTCGATTCTCAACAAAAAGCCAACTCTACCAAATAATAGTGCCTTTCTCATGAAGTCCGTGACAGGCATCCTGAATTCTTTGAGAATTTTCTCTGGAAATGCAAAAATATTGATCGATAAACACTCCTGGTTTGGAGACTTCCTGAAATATTATTTTCTCTGATTTTACGAGGTGTTTTCTAACAAATAGCTTTATCACATCATGCCTCCTATCCCCAGCACATATCCAAAATAAAAATGTAAAGGCTGTGGAAAGTACGTAGTGAGTTTGCATTTGTAAGTTTGTCTAGTTTTAAACTAATATAATCTTAAAAGTAGAAGGCCCAGTTGCCATAGGAGGTGGGGTGGGGGAGGGGGATCCCTACAACCAAGAGACCGAAAAGGTGAGAGAGACATAGTCCTTTTCCCCTGGAATTAGTTCTCTCCAAGTCTCAGTAGGACTCCAAGAAAGATGTTTGTTCAGGTTATTAAAACAACACCTTCCCCACACCTGGAGCTCACAAAAGCTACGCTTTCGACCTCTTTATTTAACCTACATGGCATCTTAGAGAATTTCAGAACTGTTAGGAATATTAGAGTCATTTAGTTTATTTTCTTATTTATGTTAACTAAAAAACAAACAGAAAATAAACGTCTCTTTCTTCTGTAGAAGTGACTTGCCCAAGGTGACACAGCTAGTTAGACGTAGAGCTGATTCTGAAAACCAGGTCTCCTGGTTCGGAGGCCGAGTCTCTTCTTTTCACTACATCATGCTAAAATTGCCCACGAAATGCTTTCACGGGCTAGTTTTCTTCCTCTTTCTCTGGAACTGCATGTACTAAAAGGGGTATCCAACCCTGGAAGAATCATCTGTATCTGAAATAACAACTGACTTTCAAACATTAGCAACATTTCATTCCCGTCCCAGGGCGTGCTCTCGCTCTCTCTCTGTTCGGTGTCGCTCGTCGCCTGGTAGCTGTTCACCTGAAGTTACTTCAGTGGCTGACTTTCTGGGTGTTGGCGCCTCCCACAGGGTAACCTGAGGTATGCTACAGTTGGAGTAGGGAGTAGAATACCAAAGGTTTCTTCGGTCAAAATGAAGGTGCTGGCACCTTATGGATTTAGCTGGTAATGCACAACACCCGTCGAGCCTGCAGGAAAGACCTTTGCCTGTCAGACTTTCTTTGGGGCTCAACGATTGTGTAAACTGCCCTGAATGGATAGATTCTTCTTCTTCTTCTTCTTCTTCTCTTCTTCTTCTTCTTCTCTTCTTCTTCTTCTTCTTCTTCTTCTTCTTCTTCTTCTTCTTCTTCTTCTTCTTCTTCTTCTTCTTCTTCTTCTTCTTCTTCTTCTTCTTCTTCTTCTTCTTCTTCTTCTTTTCTCTAAAGGAAAATCACACTGTGTCGTTTCAAGTGTACCTGGAACCAAGACAACTCTAAGAATCACATGAAAGGGACAGAGGAGGGATCCTGGGTGTCCGTCCCCAAGCATATCTAAAGTCTTTACTGGGTGACTACGTCCGATCTTTGAGCCAACGGGATCTCGGCAAAACCTTCGCAGCGGAGCTGAACCGATCCTCTCGACAATTTCCTCCTGTTGGATCTGACGCTGGGAACCCAGGCCTTAAAGGGGGATACATAGGCAAGGCGCGTTGGATGCTAGGTGCGGGGGTTCCCCAGGGTTTCGCGGGTCCTATTCCTTGTCCTCTCAGCTCTGGTCTTTTAGACGGGAACCGACTTGAGGGAGAAATGGGCGAAGAGATTTTTCTGCTCATTATTTCATTTATCTAAGTAGAAGAGGTTCTGACATGGATTTGAATTGCAAAACCTGGATCTTCAGTTTCTGAGTCACGTCGGCCCGAAGAGGACTTACCGGGGAGGAGGAGAGGGGAGAGTTCTATCTCTCTCTCTCAACCTTTCCATTGAATTCTACCATCTAATTTTAAACATACGGATGTTTTAGCGTGACAGTGAAAAAAGGACTGGTCTTTGAGTCAGAAGAATTGGGTCCAAGTCCGGCTTCCGCACATTCGCAAAATGACTCCAACCTACTGAACCTACCCCAACTACGGGGTCAATAACCTCCTGCCCGCAAAGGGATGTTGTGCGGCAAGAGGATTGTAAACATTAAATCACTAGAAAATTGCGAATTAGTATTATTACGTTTGGAAATACTCAACATTTGTTCTTCCCATTCCATACAAAACCCCCTTTTGCATTCGCGGCCGTTGAAACGTCAAACTTCTTACTGTTGACTCCGCGAAGTTGCTCGGCACATGTAGACATCTGGGGCGATTCTACTCACTCCTGGATCTGTAAATACTCCTGCCTCTGTGGGGGGGGAGGGGGAGGGTCTTTCCAGAAGATAGCAGCATCACTGTAGCTCCTCCTGAGGTCACCAGAATATTGGTGGTAAACTGGAGGTCCCTCCACTTGACTTCGGGGTCCTTCTTTCTACTTGCAGCAGCCCATCACTTTCCCCCCTTTCTCCCTAAAATTGGTGAAACACAACAACCCCAAGCTATAGTGCTTATTGTACCAACTGGTGTTAATTCATTGTGTCCACAGCAGTGAAGTTGGTTTTTAAAGTAATAGATTTCTCTGGGTCAGACTGTGTGGCTAAACCAAGGTTGATAGGATTCAGGAGAGAAGAGAAGAGAAGAGAAGTAATATTTAAACTCCTGTACATTCTACGAACATGTTTAACTTCCTGAAAATTAGAGATTCTTTAAATAGTTAAAATTGAAGGTACTATATAAAGAACTGCATCTTTGCGTACAGGCACAAACACTCAAGTCATATACCATAGGTGTGTGCTCTAAAAGCATGCCTTATAATTAGGAGGGAGAAATGCCTTTTGGAATATATAGAGACTCAAAGCTCATAAATAGCCATCTTTTAAATTGCACTGCCTTGAATCCTGTAATTAACCTCAGGGCTTAAAAAGACTCCTCGTGGCCTCCAGGTACTAACTTCTTGAGTGACAACGGTCAGAAAGATGAATTAGACCTCCCCCACCTCTCCCTCTTCCCTCACTGCTTCCTGCCCCCCTCACTGCCACGCTACAATTCCCTGAGTTTGGGAAGGAGGGATGGCGGGGAACTGAGCTGAAAAGAGTATTTGTTTTTCTGATTCAGAAGAGCCCATCTTTGGCGTCTGGGGGAAGGAAAGCTTTCTCCCAACCAGTGTTCTGCAACCAGGGCTAGGATACGAATTAAGCAGTCTTGGAAAGCATTAGAATTCTGAACCAGATTCTCCAAGCAACCAAAAGGAATGTTGGGCACTAAGCTGGGTCCTTTGCAAGAAAGACCCATGAGCTTCAGGGCATTTATTACAGGAGAAAGAGGCACTTACAGTGGTACCCAATAAGTTCCCCTCCAACAGGGGAGGAGCTCCTCACTAAAGAAATCAGGCTGTGGCTACTATTTAATGATCAGATGACATGCATAAAAAAGATGTAATTTCAGAAGTTTAGAAAAGGGGGAGGATTTTAGAAACAATTTAATTCAGCCCTCTCATGTTAGAAGAAAAAAAAAGTAAGAGCCAAATAGAGAAATTACTTAAGGTCACATGATTAGTGACACTTCTCTGACCTTTGCTTTTGATGAAAAACATTTTCACACACAAAAAGTCAAGTCTTAGGGAAAACCTTACCTGAATCACTATTAATAATTATTATTAATAATAAGTAATAATTATTATTCACATGTTGATTAAACTTCACAGTTTACAAAGTGCTTCGACAAATATGATCTCATCTGCTCACAACAACCTTCCAAGGCAGGCAGGATCATGCCCACTTTATAAATGAAATAACAGAGACTGAGGGAGACAAAGGGACTTTTGCAAGGTCACCAGCCAGAAAATTGGGACCCCAGCCTAAGGCTTTTAATTCTCAATCCACTGTTCTTTCCACTAATATATGTGAAGAATGTAGCATGATAGGATCTAGAGGCTTAGAATAAAACTTACAGTATCTCTGAACTAATCCTTAAAACAAAACAAATTGAAGCAAAACAAGTACTGAAGATAAAAGATTCCCCTCTTTCTACTTAGAGGTCTGTTTGCTTTTTGCCTTTCTGTGTACCTCCAATGCTTAGCACAGTACCAGGCACACAGTAAAGACTTAATAAATACTTGTGCAATGACTAACTGTTCTTTCTCTCTGTACCCATGACAATGAATATTTCCAATGAAAAGCATCAGACCTCACTTCTTTATGTCCCATATCTGTTCAATAATATTCAGATAGACATTCTAGAAGAATTGTGGGAATTAATCAAAATCTGCAAAGAGTAGTGAGATTATGATGTGAGCTTGGATGAAGGTTTCATAATGTGAGGTCATACGATTTAGAATTGGAAGGGACCTTAGTCTGATCCAGTGTTTTAAACTTTAGGAAATAAAAGTAAATCTATTTGTCTACATCTGTCTGTCTGTATCATTTCTTTTTACCGATTCATCAAAAAAAAAAAATCGAAAGAGTTGCTCCAAAATGACCTTTTAGCAAAGGGGTTCTGAGATATTTTCCATTGAAGGACACTTTTTGAAAGAGTTAAAGGCAATCTCTTTCTTTCTAACACCACCTGCCTTTTGATATTGACACTGGCAACTTTTCCATGGTGTCTCATTACTGGTTTGAACAGCTATGACAGATTGGATATATGGTATTTGAGCTATTGTTTAGAACTGTGTTACCTGCTAAGACAAACAGTTGCCTCAGCATGAGTTTGGCCCTGGGTGATATTGTACCCTACATTAATACATTATTGATATTAGGAAACTGAGCTTTCTTGCAAGGAAAAAAATCTTTCCATAGCCTCTTTATTTTACCTTGTTAAGAATGGACAATGTTGGCTTTCAGGAAAAGCTGAGCTTCTTTATGACTGGCAAGAGCACACATACAGGTCAAAGTGAACTCTGTCATAGTGGGAGGGATAGCCCTGGGATGATTTGAACCATTCCAAGCCAGTGAGTCACTGGCAGCAATTCAGAGGGGAGAGAGACTAGAAGCCAGATCAGTTAGGATATGTTTGCAAAGGTTCAGGTGAGCAGCCCTGAGCTGTTCATGGCAGTGAGGATGGTGTGGCATGTTGGTAAGAAACCTATGCCCTCCCCTTTAAAGTGATTGGAGTTAGAGTGATAACTTAAAAGGTCCCTTCTAGCTTAGAGATTTTGGGATCTATAGTGCTGATAAAAGACTTCCCAGCCCTACCACAAGATACCGTTTGAGTCACGCAATGGAGAGGAGGGAAAAAAGTATAATTCTACCCACATCCACAAGATATCAATGGGCCAATCTGGGCAGTGTAATATAGTGGAAAGCCTTGAGTTTGGACCTTGATTTAAATCTCTGTTCTGCTACGTATTAACTTGTGGCTGGACAAGGGATGACCTCTTTGAGCTACAGGTTTCTTCCTGGCAAAATGAAATCCATACATCAGATAAGCTCTGAAGCGTCTTCCAACCCCAAACATTTTTTTTTATTCTTGCATATCAGTGTCAGGCAAACTCATGAGAACTTTAACTTTAGCTGAGATCATTAGTAAATATGGGTACAATAAGTACAAATGGTGCCTGGTTTCCAAAGAGATTTCCATACAGCTCCCCATTCTACACTTACCTCTGCCTCTTTCAACACAGTCAGCCCAAGGTACAGAGTCTACTCTCCTCCAGCACTGATGTATTTAGCAGTTCCTCCTTTTCCCTTTCACTTTTAGCTCCTGCCTCCTCCCTGGTCACTGAGGCAGTGCTAAGGAGAACATGTTGGTCATGTTTCCTAACTTGTTCTTGAAGCAAGATTCCAGTTTCTGCATGAGACAATTCAATAAGCAAGATCTGGGAGAAGGAAGGAGGCTCTGGTAGATCATTTCTGGGGAGAGAATCCTCTCTACTCAGCCCCCCTCCCTATTCTTCAACACAAATGGGATCATCATCATCATCATAAACGTTTTTTAGATCTTGAAAGTATTTCAGAGAGCATGGGTTAATGGAAAGACAACTGGTTTTTAAAGTCAGACATCTTTTGTTTAGAATAGCTCTTGACCCCACTGTGAGCTATTGTGTGACCCTAGGCAAGTCCCTTCCTCTCTTAAAGCCTCAATTTCTTTATTTGTAAAATAAGAAATTTTGAATGTTTTATTTTTAAAGTTCACTCTGGCTCTTTAGTTTTGGTGGGGTTATTTGATGCATTCATTCTCTAGCTACATATATGCACATCTAACTATCCAATTATCTATTAATCAATCTATATACTTAGCTAATTCATCTACTGATTTTAGACATCTAACCTCTGTTTTATCTATTTAATCTCTATCATCTCCTATCCATCTATCCACATAATCTCATCTATCTATATATCTGTTTAATCCACCTACCTATAGATACACCTATATTATCCATCTAACCTTTATCTTATCTACTTAATATTTATCATCTGTTTTGAAAAACTTTGGAATCCATTGTGAGACATGGGAGACATGGGAGACATTGGCACAGGACCATTCAGCATGGTGTCCGCACATCAAAGAAGGTGTACTTTCTGAGCAAAGCAGAATTGCAATAGCTCAAAAGAAATATGAGATGTGCAAATTTAGAGACATCTCCACTCCAAATGTTCATATGAACTATTTGTGCCTGACCCGTTCTTATTGGTCTGATCAGCCACCTTGGACACATTGTACCTTGACTCCAACATAGTGATGTCATTTTGGTCCTCTTCAAGAATGAAGGACAACAACTATCCCTCTATGTAATTATCAATCTATTTATCAATCTATGTATCTGTCCATCTAATCCATCTAGCCGTTTATCTCATCCATCTAATCTCTATCTTATCTATTTAATATGTCATTTTTCTTACTCATTTATTCATCTTATCTATCTACATAGCTATCAATGCTATTATCTATCAATCTATTTATCTAGCTATCTGTAGACCTAGCTAACGCATCCATCATCTATTCATTTATCTTAGTCATCTAGCCTCTATTTTATATATTTTATCTCTATCATCTTCCTACCCAATCTCATCTATTAATTATATGCCTGACTGTCTATGTGTCGATGTATCTCTGCATCTATGTATACTATCATATGTACCTATATATCCACCTATCCATCATCTATCTTTTCCTATTCTAGCCTAACCATCTGGGTAAGCATTTTTTCATCGCCCTCTGCTGGAGAACTCCGTTTCTTCCTTCCCCTGCACTAAAACTAGACCGAAAGGTGGCACTCACGGGCAGGCTACTATTCAGCCCGAGCGTCCTTATGATTTTTGTCCTTTGTGGGCTTCTGTACAGGGCGCGAGCGGTTTGTCCTTTTCTCTCCGCCCTTCTTTGAGTCTGCGCATTAAAGAGGCGCCGGGGCGCGTGACGTTATCGAGCGCGCCGAGCCTAGAGCCCCGCCCTTCCCCGGCCGTCGCGCCACTGACTAGGCAGCCATGGAGCCGGCTTTGCGGCTGGGAGCGGGTAGGGGGCCTGTGGGCAGGGGGCGGGCGAAGGCTGGGGACGAGAGTGAGAATGAGGGCGCCCGGGTCCGCGGCGTGGGTCTGGAGGCCGGGCCTGAGCTGTGCCCACTTCCCTGAGCCATCGTTTCTTCTCGGAAGGGCGGGGTGGGGGTGGGGGCGGGGAAACATGCTCGGTCTTATAATGATTAATAACAAAAGCGAGTAAATAGCGCTTTGCAGACACCTCCTCTGACCCTCACAGTGACCGTGGGAGGGAGGTACTCGTGTCTCTATTTTACAGATGGGGAAACTGAGGCAGAGGTTAAGTGACTCTCCCGGGGTGACAGCGATGGAGATGTGGAGGGAGGGGCAATACGCAGACATCCTCGCTCTTCTTAGCCTGCCCCCACCCCCCATTGTCCCTGTGCTCCCCATAAAGGACTCCCCTGTGAGGTCTGCTCGGCCCCTAGGCCCATTAGGTTCGTTAAGGGGATCCCAGGGGCAGCCATCTGTCGACCCTGACTCTTACTATAGGTCCCGACCCACCCCCCTGCTGCTTCCACCCCATACTGCACGCAAGCAGTGCATCCTGTCACAGGCCGAGCGTGGGAAGGGAGCTTAAAGGCCATACTGGTGCCAATTCTCAGATTTGCAGAAGGCTTACGTGATTCTCCCAAGGTCACACAGCAAGTAAATGGTTACCACCCATGATGTTTTCCCAATTGTTCAGTATTTTCTCCTTTTTTCAAGTGTCTTGAGAATTAATCCCATAATAATTTGAATTGTACCACTTGCAACATGGATTTCCTTTGTGTATACTTGTCTGGTCCAGCCAGCCTTCCTATGTCCCTCTTCTTTACTGTCATTTATGCTTCTTCACATATGTTCATTGAGGCCTGACATGTTAGAATCCAGTTAGAGTAGTTCATTATAGAGAAAGTCTAGTGTATAATCCCAGTGAAAGAAGTATCTCCTATAGAACATAAGGGCTTCCATATTCTTTTTTCTGTTGTTTATTGGATCCACCTCCCAAATACTGTAGAACATCCTAAATCAATTTCATAACCCCTCAGAGGAGTTCATCATAATAATCCATACAGGAAAATAAATGGATAATGCCCGTTATATGGACATTAGTAAATATGGGTACAATAAGTACAAATGGTGCCTGGTTTCCAAAGAGATCTCCATACAGCTCCCCATTCTACACTTACCTCTGCCTCTTTCAACACAGTCAGCCCAAGGTACATAGTCTACTCTCCTCCAGCACTGATGTATCTAGCAGTTCCTCCTTTTCCCTTTCACTTTTAGTCTGGTAAAACCTATAGACCCTTTCTCAGAATAATGTTTTGTTTTTTTAAATCATAATCGAAGGGAGTGCTACATTTGAGGTAGAGATTAGGAAAAATAACTATGTGATATATTTTCCCATTCAAGTTCATGGACCCCCTGAAATCTGTCTGATATATGCCTGATGTAGACTGTATGCAATTAAATGTGGACAGCTTATTGAGCTGGCCCATTGTCAAGACACTGCCAATGGATAGAGTCGAGTCCAACATTTGGTTAATAGGAAAGCATTTGGGAAGGTGTATAGCTCTTAGGACATTCCTGTGTTTCTCCTGGAAACAACCACCACCACCAAAAAACCCCACATCTTTTTAACCCAAGTATTCTTACCTTGGTAAAATGTTAAAGCACTGCTAGTGATAGGACAGCACAACCTCCAGAAAATCAAAACTGCAAGTAGCCCAAAGACCATTCAGTAATGTGTATTGTAGCAGTGAATGGGTCATAAATATTAGCAACAGTGACTTGCAAGAGAATGTTGTAAAAGATCATTCAGAAGATGTGTAATTGGAAAAGGAAGCGGACCCCTCAGATAGAGTGCAGGTTAACAGCAGGCCTTCATCGTGTTGGGAGGACCTCAGTGGATGAAGTGCATCTGGTCGACATTATGGCAGAGTACCCACTTCTATGAAATTGTGCATCTATAGAAACAGCTAGGTGGTGCAAGGGGATAGGGCACTGAACATAAAGTCAGGAAGACCTGAATTCAAATCCAGCCTTCTAACTTATGGAAAAGATCGTGGGAAATCATCCAAAACAATCATAAGCCATTTATGTTAGAGATGGTGCTGTGGAATACTTCCTCCTTTGTAGCAGATCACAACCCTTTTATCTTCTCATCCTGGGTGATTCTTGGCATAGATTTATTAGCTCCTTTAAATAAATACTCTAGAGTGGACTCATCCAATGTGTATGAAAGAAATGGAACACATACAGAGAAATATTAACAAGTACAAATTAATCATAACTATATCAATAATGAAACTATTAAAAAGATGTCTCAGAACTTGTATACGCAAAGTATCTTACCTTGGAAGATGATGGTTTACTTACTTAGGTAGTGCTGTCACATGTCTTTAGAATCAACCATTATGGATATCGTATGAATTATAAATAAAACTTAGTGACATTATAGGGGAACTTTTTTTCTGGCCCCCAAAAGGATTTACCTACTTTATTCACCCTTTGTATTTACCAGCCTTGTCTCCAAATGACCTCTGTCTATTTTGAAAAATCAAATTTCTCCTCAGAGGATGGGTATTTGCCACCATTGAGGATGTTCAGGAAAATGTAGTACAGACTCAGAAAGCAATTTCAGCTGAGGAGTCTAGAAACTGTTTTGAGTATTGGCAACACTGGAATAAATGCATAGTTTCCTAGAGGTAACTTTTTAAAAGAGTACAACTGTAGTTTGGTTATGTAAGTTCTGCCATTAAAAAAAGTCATTATCACCTCAAGAGGATTGAAGATTGCAATTAATGTAGTGATCATTGTCAGATAGAGTTCACTTGGGAAGACTTCCTGAGAAGGTAAGTTTCAGAGTAGTGCTTGAAAGGGAGCAGAGCAGGCATGTGTTTTGTCAAAGAGAATAGCAAAAGTCATTCTCATCACCAGGATATATTTGAAGATAATGTGGGTAACTTGAGGTGAAGGGATATCCCTTACATTATTTCAGCTTGAAGCCACATTAGATAGGAGGACCCACTAAACTCTAAATATTCATTTGTTCACTGTTGAACAATCCAGTCCCCAGGGAGAGATGATATGGTGATATGCTGCCCATATCACTGTGAGATAAACTAGTGTCTTAAGTACTTGCTTTGGTTTTGAATCAGATTTAATAGAACAATGTTTTAGTGTAAGAAGCTGCTACAGGAAGCCTGTCCCAATCACTGTTAATTCTAGTGCCTTTCTTCTGTTAATTATTTCCTGTTTATCCCATTATATAGCTTGTTTGTATCTTGTCTCCCCTGTTAGATTATGTTTCTTGAGGACAGGGTCTATCTTTTGCCTCTTTTTTGTACCTCTAACACTTAGCACAATGCCTGGCACCTACTAGGCACTTAATAAATGTTTATTGATTGATTGACTATAGTGTATTAAAGGCTTATATGGTAGTCTTTGACCATCTGTAACATGGGATTCCTAATGATTTATTTGACAGTTAATTCAAACCTCTTTTGTTAATGTTTTAGGTGTCTCCAAACAAGAAATTCGTGAAAAGATTTGGGATTATATGGAAGCACAAAATATAGCTGATTTTCCGAGGCCTGTCCATCATAGGATTCCTAATTTCAAGGTAGTTAAGCCTTCCTAGAATATTGAAAACAAACACAACACATTCCTGAATGAGTAACATTAGTATTACTGTTACTTTGTCTCTTCCTGGCGGATTAGAATTCAGTGAACATTTGGTAGCATTGTAAAATTAAAACCTTATGTCTGTAGAGCATTTATGTTTACTGACATCTCTTATCATGTTACTTAACTTTCATTTGCAGTGACTAATCATTGTATATCTATGAGCACAGCTGGGCAGGTCCTGCATATAAGGTTCAGCTAAAGCTGCCGCTTACTATTTGATAGCAAATAAGATGTTGGTCCTGGCTAGGAGCATGTTGTTATTGTTCATGATGCCATTTTCACAAAGTTGGCCTTACTCAGGAAATTCATGGAAAAATGTCCTGTCAAGATAAAGCCCAGCAAGGGGCTCCTTTGAAAAGCTAAGAGTGATTTGTCTGACCTTAACTACTGGATTGTAAATCCTTGAGAGCAGGGAAAGTCGCTTACTACTCTTCAGTCCTCCTGAGCAAAGTAACTAGCACACAGCAGAAGCTCAATAAGTCTTTGTTGAATGGACATTATTGCTGAATTTATTATTCTGAGCCTCAGTTTACAACTGCAAAATATTTTTAGAAATAAGAATGTATCAGGGAAAACCAAAGCAACAACAAAGTTCTTACTTCACACAATCCCATGAGAAAGGGACTGTGATCATCCACATTCTACCAATGAGTTAACTAAGGCTGTGAGAGATTAAATGATTTGCTTATAGTCGCATAGACCTAAGAAGTGGCTGAGGCAGGATTCAAATCCAGTTCTCCTAACTCCCAGCTCAGTCCTCTTTTCACTAGGCCATACTGCCCTCGCAAGGGAAAATGTGGTATTTGGATCAGAAATGTTTATTGTTGTTCTTGTAGTGCTGTGGGAAAACAAAGTTTTTAACCTGATCCAATCTGGTAATTTGTTAGTGCTAAATAGAAGAGTAGGAAAAGTTGAGTTCAAGGAAGAAGGAAGGAGTCCTAACTGAAATCCTTCAGTCTGCTTGTTTTCAGAGGGAAAGAATCATCATTTTCTTTGACCAGGCTGATGCCTTTTTATGTGTCAGGATCCAAGAGGAGGGATGAATGTGGTTTTGGGTATTAGAGTGAAGTTTTTGTTTTGTTGTTTTTGTTAGAAGCTGAGATCTGAAGAGTTTGTTTTGTACAAGTTAGGCTAAAACAAGCTCTCTTGGATAAAACCACTGGCTCTCTAGACTAAGTAACTTTCTGGGCCAGTTGCAAAAGATTGCTGATTTATTTTACTACTGTTTTAATTCCCATGAAAAGAAAGTAGACTACCTAAAAGGGGAAGTGATCTAAAAAACTGAACCTGTTTTAAAAGTTGAGGTATGTTATTAAAATAAATTACAGGAAGAGATTGCTAAGTTATCAAGGCCATTTTTTTTCCCCTTAAATTAAAGCTTGGGTTTCCCCATCTCACCCAGACTGGAAGTGTATGGCTACTCATGGGCCCTGTCCTGACTTTGAGACTGTACAGGGCCTTTGACTTGCTCCATTTCCAGCCGGAGTTGGTTCAGGCCTCCTTTGGCAACGTGGTGCCACCCAGTGCCAGGGGCTTGTTCTGTGGATGCCAGACTTGGTGCTGACACCCAGTCATCTTAGAATTCCCACAAGACCTGATTGCTTCTGCCTCCCTAGTATCTGCAATTACAAGCCTATGCCACCATGCCTAGCTATGCTATTGTTTGTTTTTTCCCCCAAAGTGGTTTTTTTCTGCCTCTTCCCCATTAGATCTTCACCACTGTACTGAGATCCTCTTTAAGAAACACTTAAAGCGTAAGGTGTTCCATTAAATTTAATGTAGCATTATCATTATTGTGTGGTTTTTATATTTTAGGGGCAATATAAGAAAATTGCCATATTATGCCCTACTTATCTGAAGCCAGAATTCTTATGTTAGTCATCTCTATAACATAACTGTGATCCCAGAAAAAAAAAAAGAAAAAAGACCTTGAAAAGGCAAATAGCTCTCATATGTGCCCCATGTACACTTTGGGGTGAAAATAGAGTCATTTATACTTGCTTGTGGCAAACGCCTACTTCAGTGATTCAAAGATCTGAGACTATTGGCTATGTGAACATTTCCCCTCCTCATGCAATTTATAACCTGTCTATACAGCTTAATAGCTCTGGGGACGCCCAAGTTAAAATGCAAACATCTGTGTAAGGAGGGGAGCATGGGCATAAAACCATTGCCAGTAGTTACTTACTATGTCCTAATTCCTCAACTATTACTCAGTGTCAAGACATCCTTTCAGTGCCAGTCATTGTGATTTGATGGTCATAAGAGAGCTGGCCCCTAGCTATTTGTGACAGTGTGTGTCCAGAGTGTAATACAGAGAATATGGAGAAGAGTGTGGATGGAGCATTAGCATGCATGTAGTTAGTGGATGCATGATGTAGTAGTGTGAGTCCAAGGGCAAGAGAGAATTTCATTTTGTTGATTGGAGGGGGAAGGAGGTGGAAGAAAAAATTGGTGTTTAGGTGGTGGTCCTTGGCAGTTTAAGGGCATGTCAGATGTGGATGCCTTGAAGTTTGTGGCAAAGTATAGCTGTGAATCCTCAGAGAAGTGGGTTTTTTTGATTTGTTGAGTATGGGGGCAACACATAGTGGAATTACCCTAGACTATGCAGGTAGCTTGTGTCCCTGGAGTTGTAGTGCTCTTCTGAAGAAACAGTTCCAGAGTCTGGAGTCAGAGGACTTGGGTTTAAATTATACCTCTCACATTTAACAGCCTGCTTCATGTTGGTGAAGTCACTTATGTTCTTTGGGCCTTCAGTGTCCTCATTTGTAAAATGAGGGGACTAGACTGAGTTATCTCTGAGGTCCCTCTTAGCTCTAGCTCTGTGACATACACTCCTAAGATGATCAGCATGGTCCTGAGCTCCTACAAGTCTCTGCATGGGAAAGTAATTCAGGAGAGAATTTTGAGAAGTGAGCACATCCATAGGCATGCTGTGGTCTTCAGGAGCTGTCCCCCTGCAGGTGATGAACATTTCTAAACAGAGCTGGGCCAGGCCTTGTGGGTCACTGGGCCGTACTCTAAGCCTTTCTGGTTTGACCTGGTACAGCCTCTGAGCAGCCAGGGTTATCTCTGGGCCACAGGGAAGTATGGCGTTACCAGGCAGTAGACAGGAGGCTACATGTCAGCTGATGTTTGAGGAAGGAAGAGCTTCCAGGTATGAGGAGCGTAGCCTGGGACTAGTAATGTAGGGACCAACAGGGCCTGTAGTGACATGTTCAAAATAAGGACTCTGTGTCATCAAGACATGTTACATTTTTTTCCAAGGAGATTTTTCAAGGAGAGTTATTAGGTAGCAGGATCACAAATCTGGACCCATAAAGGATCTTAGAGGGCCTCTCATTTTACAGGTGAGGAGGTGGAGACCCAGGGAGGTGAGGTGACTTGCCCAAGGTCATACAAGTAGTAAATAGCAAAGCCAAGATTCAAACTCAGGTCCCATGATGCAAGTTTAATGCTCTTTTCACTATACCACACTACCTCCCCAGTATCTGTTGTGATAAAATAAAATATATCAGTTTGTTCTTCAGTCATTTGGTTGTGTCCAACTCTTTGTGACCCTGTGGACCATAGCATGCCAGATCTTTCTGTCCTCCATTATCTGTCAAAGTCTAAATATATGAGTAAATTTAATCAAAAAAACAAAACAAAACATTTTTTAAAAAATAGTAAGGTAGACTTCTGGGTCATGTGAGCAACAAGATGGAGGACTAGACATTTTTTCCTGATCCTTATGACCTATCACACACCTTCAGAATAGAAATCATACACCAAAAATGGAGACACTTCAGCCATCTCTACAGTGTAGGACACCCAGAATCCAAAAGAAGGTTAAAAAAAAGCCCTCACTGTCCCTGAGTCCACTTAACACCCATCCTTCCCTGACCTCCCATGCTGCCTGCAGTAAAGTTTCACTAACAGATACAGGGATATAACATATAGGCTTACAATAAAACCCACCCACCACTACCCCCCTTCTTTCCAGTACCATAGAGACCCCAGCTCTAGGCTGTGGAAGTTTACCTGGGCCACTTAAGCCAGCATGGTGGCAACACTTTAGGAGCAAAAACCTACCAGGGGTCACAACCCTGTGGTACCAGTGCTACAAAGCTCTGAAATGCTGGTGCTGAGCCAGAGAACTGAGAAATAGAGGGAGTGGGGGAGGTCACCATGACCAGACACTGGGTGTTTTGGGGGTGGAGAAGGGGAAAAGGGTGGTTGTACAGCACTTGACTAAGCCTGAGAGAAAGAGCATAGCATCCAATTGGGGCCAGTTCTGTCTATCTAAAAGTCACTTGGGGCAGAGGCCTAGACTGTTGAACTGTGAATTGTCCCGAATGGGAAAAGGCTGAGACACTTTGAAATCCAGCTCCCAAAGAAACCATCATGAAAGAGGAGGGAATGAGAAAACAGATTGGAGGAAGGGGAATGGGGAGGGGGGACTGAAATTACCAAAGATCTCAGGAAGCAGATAAATCAATAGGGAAAACATTAACAACAGAAGGAACTATGGCCTCCAGATCTAGTAAATGAGTTCAAGCATAAAGATAGGTAAAGAGGAAATTATCCCTATTTGCTGATGCTAGGATGATTTACTTGGAAAATCCTAGGGAATCTACAAAATTACTAATTGAGGCAATAGCTTCAGTAAAGTTGCAGGCTACAAAATACTCAAAAATCAACTGCATTTTTATATAATAACAAAGCACATGAAGCAGTATTAGAAATCTTATTCCAAATAACTACAAAATGCGTAAAACGTTTGAGGATCGACCTGCCAAAGCACACAAAAGACTTATAGATTCAATTACAAAATGTTCCTTAAAGAAAAAAAACAATTGGGAGCAAGGCCAAGATGGTAGAGTAAAAGCAGTGACCTGCTCGAGCTCTCCCCCAAACCCTTCCAAATAACTATAAAAAATGGCTCTAAACAAA